TATTCGTGGCTGGCGTTGCTGCTGGCGTGCTCACTTTCCGGGCTGAGGCAGTGTGGGCGCAGTGCCAGGCTGGGCCCCCTGCGTCTGCTCAGGCTAAACCTGGCCGGGCAAACAGGCTCATTATGGGGGGGGCAGGAGGGAAGGGGCCCTGCTTGGCTCAGCCCTGCTGGCTCTGTGACCTGGCTTTTCCAGAGAGGCAGCTGGGCCCTGGCCAGGCTGGGCTACAGCAAGGACTATGCTGGAGCACCAACCCTCTTACAGCATGGGAGCCGGCGCGCTGGCCCACGCCCAGGAAGTGACATTGCCCCCCAGTCTGCTCTCTTTGGCCTCTGCACCCCCTCGGCCCTGGACCCTGGAGCAGGACAGCCTCACCTGGAGCCAGCAATGCTCTCCGTGGATTTCTGGGAGCCCATGGAGGCGATGGAGGGGCTAGATGGCCGCCCTGCAAGGGGGAAAGAACTGAGCGCTGGCAGACTGTGATGCACCTGAGGGCACATGTCCCACTCCCCCTGTGCTCAGAAGGGTGGGCTAGTGCCCACCGCGTGCCCTGACCAGGGAGGTAACTGCAGGTGTAGAGGATGCTCTGTCTCTTGGCTACTGGGCACCCACCAGCAATACAAGGTACTGCTGGTGCTGAGGGCACGTACCCCGTCTCCCCCAGCATCCAGCCCTTGGCCCCCACTCCACCCTGGACGTACCATTAGGGCTGTTCTGCTTTTCCCAGCCAGAGGTCGCAGAGGATACACTAGCTGGAGACGCAGGGATCTCATCTCGCTCTGCAACAGAATAAGCACTGAGGGCACTGGGGCTCCTGGGACCCGCGTGGCTCGCCACTGCCTGAGCTGGGGACCAAGCCCTACAAAGCCGTGAGCTGACAGCTCCGCAGTGCCCAGGGTCGCTGGGGTCTTCAAGGAGCCGTTTGCTCAGGCAGGTCCCTGGGGAGGCTGAGTGGGAGCGTAAGCCCCAATTGGTACCTGCAGCGATGAGCGCCTCGTCCTGCTCCGCGTCCTGCTGCCGGGCCAAACCTGCCGAGTAACTCCTGTGGCAACAGCTCTCTGCTGGAGCCGCTCGCTGGTGGCTGGCAGAGCTGGCTGCAAGGAACCGCACATGATCTCAGCCCTGGGCTGCGCTCGGGTCCCTCAATGCCTTCCCCCTCTCCAGCACACTGCCTCCCAGGCCTCCTGGGACAGGGAGGCTGAGCTGTGCAGGCAGGTGGCCTCGCACCGGCAACGTGGCAACATGCAAAGCATGGGGACTCAGCTGGGAGGGCTCAGGAGGGCCCCCAGGGCCGTACCTGCGCTGCACACCTCCACGGCGGCGGGCAGGGCTGCCTGGGTGGTGCCATCCACGGGCACCACGCAGGTGTAGAGGGAAGGCACATTGCAGGCTTTGCTGGTTTGCACGGCCTTGAGGCGAAACCGGCGGG